GTCGTGAGTCATCTAAGCCACATGCATCATAACTATTTTAATAACTAAAATTACTAACATTAAAATGAAGCTGAATTAAAATAGACGGAGATGCTGGTGTTTGTCGGAGGACAGGTCATGATCTATTTTGAGAATGGTATGAAATGAGGGAACGAGATCATAGTCTTGTAAATAAATAGGAGGCTTTCTGTCATGTCTCTGCTCGTTACTTTAAGATTTTCATTTGTATCTAGCTCTGAGTTCAGTTTGAATAAAACGCCACTTTAAGACCGTTACACTAACTGAGTCAAAGACTTTTGAGGACTCCTAGAATCTACAAATAAGATACTAGCTACATATTTAGAGTTCCAACTGTTCAACTTTATACTTTGGTCTCATGGACAGTGAGGGAAAAGCCCTATTTGTTAGATAGAATACATAGACATTTTTTACAAAAACAATCTGTTACCAGAACATTTGTGCTAGCACATTAAATCTCCAAGCCGCTGTTATACTGATACTGATCAGTGAGCCTATATCAACGGTTCACAGATTCATGAAGTATTTGTTGAAGGAACATTGTCCTTAGTTGGGAACATGTCAATCCCCCAGATTTATCTGGACTCCTAGAGCCGTTTAAATCAAGCGTCTGTCACGCAACCACCACCTTTGTTCCCGCATCCTGGAGTTACTATACCCGTTTTTCAGGAGCAAACAACAATGTCAAACCCACGCCCAGTCATCCAAGATCTCTCAACAGCAACCCAGGAGGAGATAGATCGATCTCTAGTAAGAATGATTGCACAATGGCGACAATTTAGATTCCGAGATGAAAACCTCTGGGAAGTACTAAAGGAAGAATTCGAGAATTGGGAAAAGATTCACTTTGACAAAGCCACTGCAAAACAAAGACGAGATTTTTGTAACCATCTCGTCTGAAATGGAGTATATTTGACACCCACGCAACCAGGCAGTCATGGGGATGTCTCAGCCCAGTTAATAGAAGCACTCTCTGCTCAGGCATACCATGAATGGACGGATAAAGAATTTTACAGCTGGGCCCTTTACAGTAATGGAAGGGTAAGAATGGAAATCAACAGGATATATGGAGCCAACAAAAAGAAATATTATCAGAAGGATAAAGAACAGGAACAAGGAAAAGATAAATCTACAGGGGAGGAAGGAATTGATGAGATAGAAGGACAAAAGGGCTCATTTTTTCGACCAATCAGGGATGAACCATGGGAAGATCATCACCAACCTATAAATAAACAACTTTAATCACTTGCAAGACTTTACAAAGAATCTGACAAATATGCAGATGGACTCAACAGCTTTGACTATAAGCTAAAGGTTTTTCGCAATAATTCTAAAGATGCATGTGTTGAGGGTCGTTACATTAAAGAGTCACTCTCTCATATGTTTACTGGCGCTGCAAGAAGTATCTACCTTGACAAGACACTTGATCATGACAAGATGACATTTGAAGATTTCTGGAGAGCAATGAAGACTCATTATGAGACCGATCAATGGCGCAATAGACGGGAGATAAGTTGGTTAAATCTAAGTTTACCTACAAGAATCGCTGCGTACCCGGAAGATGGAGTCAAAAACAATCTTAAATGGTTAGAAATGGAGTTTCGCAGAATCTAAAGAGGTTTGATAGATTACCAAGGCAATAGAGCATTGCGCAACCGCCTCGTAGCGTCATGCTCTAGGATTACAGAACTTGAGTTTGCCCTATATTGACCTGCATAGACTTTCGAAGGTGTTTTAAATAACATGTATGGTGCTCTAGATCAGAAATCTCTGTCAAACCCATCGTCTCAATATCACCAACAAATGAACTACCCTGACCATACAAATTCAAGTGGTATCCACATGGCTGACTGCCACTATAACACTGCACTAGACTTCGGCAGACACAGAGGCAAAAATAGAGGTAGTGGACAATTGACCTAAGGAACCAATGATTCAAACAGCAACAAAGCTGGCCCCAAACAGTCAAACACATGGGTTAAGAAATGCCTAATGTTTCACAAAACAAACTGCTGGTCAACCAATCATTAAAAAGAAGAAAGGCAGAAAGTATTTAACCAAATTAAGCAACAGTACCCTATGAAGCCAGACACGGAGATTAGGCAATTCGTAATCAAAATTGAAGGAGAATGGCTGGAAGACAGCCTTGACATATTTTTGACGGATTTTGAATCCCATTTAGAGACCGGGCCAGATCACAACTCTGATGACAAATTTCTTCAATCCAGAAACCTTGTTGAAGAAATTGGTGGTAAGAAAGCTGTAGCCTATTTGATTGATCAAGCTATTTTACACTCATTTACAGCGCCTAGATTAAATATCTCAGATAATTACGCCCTCAGGGCTCCAAACATGTAATGAGCAAGGCAGTGTAGGTGCTTGAACATGAAACACCTACACTTGACATGAATGCCAATCTAGTCTTGGCATTACTCAGCACAGACCCAAACCTCATGTATATAGAGCTGTTATGGGCTGCACCTGATCCTAGTAAGAAGTGGAAGGTTAGATGTTTGGGAGAATAATGACCTCCAACCCTAGTCAACAAGGTCCAGGCAAGGAATTAGAACCCATGCAGGTTGAGCGTAGACTCCTTGAACTGCTAGCCTCATAATCTCCTACCGGGGAGGTCAGACAGCAAGCGTATAGACTTTACCAATGGTTAGGAGATATAATAAGACCTTCCCTCTAGAATTAGTTAGTCTCTCTTGCATGTAAAAAATAGACAGTATTTGGACTTCATACCCTTGCTTCATCGTGTTGTTGTAGCCCTTTCACAAGAGCTCGCTGTAGTTACTCCTATTTCTCCTTCCATAGCCAATCTATCTTACATTCTCAAGGCTGCCTCCTATCATTTTCATACCTCGTGATTTTGGCTATCTTTTTCAGAGACCCAGCCTACTTGATTCACTCACACACCCACGCACTACACTTTCAGAGTCATCCACAGTCCCACAGTCCCAATTTTACCGAAGACAATGTCCTTGGAGACTAATACTCTCAGAGAACTCACCAATCCCCGAACTCCCGCAACAGGACGATTCATAAGAAGGACCATACACTAAGACACCATGGCAAGTATGAAGATATCCGAAGAGCTTCCCCTTTTCAATGAAAGGTTAAAAAATTTGCCCCGCCATCACGGAAAAATGCGCCTTTGAAGCCAACTAAGATCGAAAAGTTCGATGGAAGCAACGCAGATTTCAAGACTTGGTCCACCGCTATGGATCTCCGTTTTGTCAAATACCCCGAAGATTTCAGCACTCCAGAGTTGCGCCTCACAGAGATTGCGGAGCATTGTTCGGGTCGCGCTGCAAACTGGATGAATGCAATCATCATCGGCAATTGTGAAGATCTCATTGATTATTATGCTGAATTCATCGCACAGTTCATTAGAACCTTTCAAGACGCGCGGTACATCTCGCGTATGCAAGACTAGTACATGACTAGACATGTAAAAGGTTCTGTTGCCATCTTCGCGACGCAATTCGAAGAAGCATCCCATGCTTTGGGTTACCCTCCCAATGTCATGGCACTCCAGTTCCTGCATCAAATGCAGCCTGAGATCAGAAAGGCGCTAAACCGTCAACCAACCCTCGACCGCCAGGACTATGAAGTGGTCCGGAAACTTGGGGTAGAGGTAGACAGCAATATCTACCTAGAGCGCAAAGAGGGTCGTACCGCACGGTCACGCACTTACACACCCATTGCCACCCCTGCAACTACCGTCCGCGCTGAAGAAACAACAAAACAATACGTAGCTTGCCATACAGGCCCACGCCCTTCACTTACAGATACTGAGAGAATAGAATAGAATAGAATAGAATAGAATAGAATTTTATTTATGTCCCTACTGAGTCTATGACTATGAAGGACAGCTAAAACTATCTAAATAGCTTTAAAGTTAATAGTAAATTTGTATGTTGTTGTGTTCAATTTTTGCCAATAGATGATGAGGGATACCGAGAGAAACCTTTGGCAAACCCATAATCTTTGTCTATACTGCAGAGCAAACAAGCATTTGGTGGAAAGATGTCAGCTCACAAAGGGACAACACCGCCTCAATACCACGGCAAACGAGCCAGACACAGCAACCTCTTTACACCACAAGAACGAATATGTACGTACTCACACCCCCTACTCTGCTAAATTGCAAGCCTGGCGCTCCCGCACTGACTTCACACCTAGGATTGAACTTCGACGTCCTCAACTCAAAGTCAAAGGGTCAGTGGGTGGAAAGGTAGTGCATGCATTAGTAGATAGTGGCGCAGAAGATAATTTCATCAATAAAAATATTTTACAAGAACTTCAAATCCAAAAGTCTACTCCTTTGTCCCAACCAATTATTGCTGCAGACGGCCACATCATTATGCGTAGTGATAAAGCAAGAATTGTAGAAATAGAATGTAAATTTAACGACCTCGCAAAAGGTCAATTATCCTTTGTACCAGCTCCATTGAAACATCAAGATGTCATACTAGGTTACCCATGGTTGCAACGCCTGAATCCAAACATTGATTGGATTACCGGTAAAATAGAATGCAAAAATCTGTTGCAATTCCATAGTAAGAGGAGCAGAAAGTATAGCTCAATGAATATTGTTTCCATTAAAGTTCTAAGTTACATGTAAAACACGAATTTATGTGCGCATATCCTATAGTTAAAATGGGTATGCAAAAAACAATTATTACAGTGAAAAGTCTTCAGCCCAGCTGACCACCAAACCATTGTGCAGGGAATAAAACAGTTCTGACCCCGCACCATTAATGCCATCCTATTTGTCGCAAAGTAAACGTGACCATATCTCTCACTGCATTTGCATATAGTATCATATTACCCTGCACATGCAAATGTATGAGAGAATATCTCAACAGCAAAAAGAAACTAAAATGTAGAATACAGGATGTATTGTGCAGCATGCAGGAAAGTTGTTCATATTAGCAAGGAATGCCAATTATGGTAAGAAATGTGGCAAATTCCAACAAAATCTCACACCACAAAAGCGTCCCATAAAAACACCAATCATCAAAACAAGGCCACGCACATTTCCCTCCCCTCTCCACACTGTAGATCAACGCTGGGGTGCACGCCCACTCAATAACAGTAAAGCCATTGCAATGGCAAAGCACGTTTGCAAACTCATCCGCAAAAACACTAGTGTCCAACAAAACAACAGCGCCAACACTCAGGAAAGAGCTCCCATAATCAATTGGCAAAAATTATATCACACCCTAAAATTGAACACCTGTTATGAATATGTTGTAGATAATTTGAATAGGGTGGCGCACGGGCTATTTCGTGAATTTGGTTGGAGCTAGGCAAATGGAGCGTAGATTATGTTGGTTGGAAATTTAGAATTTGCTCCATAGTTCTAACAATTTTGTTACTTTTACGTTTATTGTATAATTTGCTTATTGAGAACTCGATATTTTGATAATATGATAATCTGAACATATGAATTCGTAACTTTGATAATCCGAGCCTTGATTACCTTCATTCATACCTTCGACCTTCGTAACTTTGTAACCTCGAACCTTTGATAATTTGTCTTTGTCAAAATCGACTCGACCTCTGCAGCTTAACAGCTTCGAAAATCTGCCAATAAGTAGATTCATAACAACACCATATTGAAAGAACTCGAGCCCGACACCTATCAAACCCTACCTAACCATTATACAAAATTTAAAAATGTTTTCTCAAAGCCAAAAGCTGAAGAACTAGCAAAAGAAAGGTCAAACGTGAACTGCGAGATTATCCTCAAACCAGACGCCAAGATGTGCTGCATAAGAGTATACAAGATGTCCAATATAGAACTAAGTCTACTCAAAACCTATATTAACAATGGAATCCAACAAGGATGGATCCGCAAAAATAAATCTCCTTGCGCCTGTCCAGTTATGTTTCGAACTAAGCCGCATGACTCGGCCCTACGCCTTTGCGTGGACTACCGTGCCGTAAACGCCAATACAGTCAAAAACGCTTACCCTTTGCCCCAGTTAGATGACTACCTAAGCAAAATGCACGGTGCTAAATTCTTCACCAAACTCGATCTTCATAATGCCTTCCATCTGCTACAAATGAAAAAAGATGATGAGTGGAAAACTGCGTTTATAAGCCAATTCGGCCTCTACAAATACCAAGTCATGCCTTTCGGTCTTTGTAATGCTTAAGCAACTTCTTAAGCATGGATGGACGATATTTTCCGAGAATTAAGAGAAACCCTGATGTGTTACCTTGATGATATCCTCATATGGAGACAAACCAAAGAACAAGTTATTGAACGGACCCACAAAGTCCTTTATATCCTTGAAAAGAACGGCCTATACGCCAAGCTTGAGAAATGCGAGTTTGAAGTCACGAGAACATGGTTTCTGGGTTACATAATCAAGCACAATAGTATCACAATCTGCCCTTCTAGAATATCTCTTGTCACCGGGTGGCCTGAACCTAAGACTCTCAAACAAGTACAATCATTCTTAGGCTTCATCAACTTCTATCGCCGCTTCATTCCACGGTTCTCCGAACTTGCCCACGGACTTACGGCTCTTACCCGTAAAGAAAACCTTCAACGTCGCTTCGAACTCAGCAAAGAAGGTCTTCAAAGTTTTAGAACTCTTCAAGACGCTTTCAAAGACTCGAAAGTACTGGGTATTTGGGACTCCAGTCTTCCAGCAATCCTCGAGACTGACGCTTCCTACTACGCTATTGCCGGCATATTATCACAAATCGTTAATGGTGTTAAAGTTCCCATCGGATTCTACAGCAAGAAATATTCACCCGAAGAGAGCAGGTATGCTTCACCAGACCAAGAACTCATGGCAATTTGTTACAGTCTCCAACACTGGCATCATTATCTAGAAGGCGCTTGACACCAGGTTACTGTCCACTTAGACCATTGCAATCTCACAACTTTCAACACCACCGCAAACTTGAACCGCCGTCAAGCCGGTTATTAGGCACAAATGAGCAGGTTTGACTACGTTATAAAGCATATTGCAGGAAAGAATGACCCTGCAGACTTACCTTCACGCCGCGAAAATTATAAGCTCACAATAGATGATGCACCCGAGGTCCACTAATTCTTATGCCTTGCCACCATGTTGCAGGCTCCTCCCTATATTTACAACGCCCTTGTCACAGCAACAGCAACCGATAATTACGCAGCCGAAGTTAATCCTTTGGACGAAGAGTCCAAGCTTAAATGGCAAAATGATATCCTGATATACGCTGACAAACGGGCGTATGTACCTCCATCCATACAAAATCGCATCTTAGAACTATGCCACGACTCCCCTCTAGCAGGACATCAAGGCCAAGCACGCACATTAGAGAAATGCTACCGCAATTGGTACTGGCCATATATGAAAGACGACATAAAAAGATACGTCCGAGGATGCCGTGACTGTAACAAAAACAAAGACCCGCACCATGCAACCTACAGAAAACTTTCCCCGCTCCCTGTTCCCGAAGGAAGATGGACCAGAGTTCATATGGATTTTATCACCGACCTCCCTACAACAAGTAGTGGTAATAACGCCATCCTCGTTGTCATCAATGCCTTGACAAAAATGGCACATTTTAGCCCCGTAAAACTTAAAGGAAGCAATACCACCAACGCTCGAACGACCGCAGATCTCTTCCGCCGAGAATGCATCCGTCTTCATGTTATTCCGGGTACCTTGATATCAGATCGAGACACCCAATTTCTTCACAAGTTTTGGAAAAATATGACGTCAAAACTGGGAATTGTCCAACAACCTACAACAGCCTACCACTCCATGGCCAACAGTCAAGCTGAAAGTGCAAACACCATAATTGGAGCCCTACTACATGCATATTATAACCAAGCCCAAACTGACTGGGACACATGGTTAGATACATGTGAGTTTGCTTACAATGACACAAAAACTTCGGCCACAGGCACCACCCCCTTCTTCGCAAACTACGGTTACCACCCACACCGCCAGTCCCACCCCGAGCTTTTCAACAAAGAACCAGACCAACATAGCGAAGGAGCAGACTGGGTCATAAAGCAACAGCTTATACTTGACAAATGCAAAGAATAGCTACTAAAAACCCAAGCAAACATGTCAAAATACTACGACCAACAGCATAGCAAAATGAGTTTGAGAGTTGGGGATCAAGTTATGCTACATACCCGCCATTTGTCTCTCGAAGTAGACAAATTGCGTAAGTTAGCATCTCGTTGGATAGGGCCATTTCCCGTGGTTAGCATTGAGGGTCCGCTCACTTACCGCCTTAGTATCCCAGATAAATTCAACATCCCGCACCCTGTCTACCACGTCTCAAATCTCGAGATGTACCATAGTCCTGATGTGGCATAAGGTCAAACAGACGTAAATGAAGCTCGCATATGGCACGAAATGGTGATGTTCCTGATTCAACACCAACTCACACCATATAGAATCCTTGCTTGCTGCACTTCCCAGAAAGGCCGTCAAGCCCATTACAAGCTGGAATTTATGAGTACAGCCCATACTATATAGTCCCCAAAAACATTTGTTGGTTTCGCAAACTCCGACAATCAACTGATTGATGCTTTTCAAACTCTCAATCCCAATACCCCTTAACCTGCTGGGTATAGACTGGAGGCAGATTGCGTCTGGGAGGACATCACACTACCAGATGAGGAGGACAATGCACCACTCTGTGGATGCCCAAAAGTGCAATTCACTAGACATTCAACTTATGCCATCACCGCAGACAGACCTTATGTCTCAAGGCGAGGTTAGGACAGTGTTCCACAGGGTGCATATGTGGTCTAACGAAGATCTAGTTGGTAGATAAAGGTGATGAGTGGGTCGAAGGGATGACTGGTCTTCTCTAGAGAGAGACAAATAGGTAGATAGTAGCAATAGAGGCTACACGTGGGTCTTGCTGATGAAGAGCTGGAAAGAGATAAATGGTCTTCCCGAAGAAGAGATGGGTAAACAAATGTATGGTTAAAGTAATTGAAGAAGACGTTGCGTGAAGAATAATGCTTCTTCATGCCGAGTATTTATATACATAAAATTACCAAATAGCACGTAGCACACAGCCCCTATGCCCAACAATCTGCTACACATCACCTAATGAAACCAGCCCATTCTTATCAGTCTTCCTTGCTGGTTTTAGAAGTGCATTGAACTATTATTTGTGTTTTAACTTAGCCGTCTGCATGGCATTTCATAATACGCTATGCCACAATGATCCATGAAAGTAGCTCCCCTCCTAAATTGCAAGCTCCTGCGAGTCTAAGTATTTGAGCTTTCTTTTTCTACTAAGATAGTGGGCCTGGTTTATTTGGGTACTGTTGATGGAAGCTTTTAACGGCTACGGTATCATCAAGGTTAACGGCAGGCTCCCAAGTTGGCTTGTTGTCCCCCATCCACTTGACTAAATATTGTAGTCCATTATGTTTTGTCATCTTTGAGCTGTAAATTTCTTCGACTTCGAATTCCTCTTCTTCGTTGAAATTATTGGCGGAGCAGGTGAATGGATCTGACCTGGTACTGGATCAACTGGAGCAGGCTCTAATAGAGATACATTAAAAACCGGGTGTATTTTAATTGTCTTTGGGAGACCAAGGCAATAGGCGTATGGGGATATTATCTTAGTAATCAGAAAGGGGCCAAGTTTTTTCCAATCGAGCTTCCTAGAGTTCCGTGTGGTTCTTTTATTTTTTGCAGAGAGAAAAACAAGGTTGCCGACGTGGTAATTGGGTGCAGGTTTTCTTTTTATGTTGACTGATTGTTCCCGTTTGTCTTGCGCCGACCTTATGTTAGCTCACAAGACATCATGTATTTGTTTCATTTTCAGGGCAAAATCCCTAGCATTATGGCTTGGAGTTGTTTTAGTGTGGGGCTTAACAGCAATTGTGAAGCGAGGATGAAAACCGTAGTTGCTCATAAATGGTGTGGCTTGGGTTGAAGCCGCCACTTGGTTATTTGCAGCAAACTCTGCCATAGCGAGCCACTTGGCCCAGTTATGCTGTTGATACGAAAGATAGCTTCATAAGTACAGTTCCATTACAGCATTAAACCTTTCGGTCTGGCCATCTGTTTCTGGATGGAAAGCAGTGGACATTCTTGCCTTAATGCGTAGATTGTTGCATAATTCCTTCCAGAATTTGGCCGTAAACTGTGTACTGCGATCCGAAGTAATATGGGTTGGCAGACCATGTGTTGTAATTAAGGGAGTAACATGACTGCATTACAATAAACTGTTCACATTAGAATAATGTGCACTACGCCATGGGATATGATTGACCTAAATCATCACTCATTGGTATGACATAGTATTTCCCAATAGATTCCTA